TAATTACATGTCCTAGATGCCGAACTTCGGATGTCCCAAATACACATTTGTCAGGATCTAACTTTAGACCGTACCTCCGGAGACGGTGTAATGCCTGGATTGTACGTTCCTCTAACTCCTCCAGAGTTCTACCGTGCAGCAAGATGTCATCTAAGAACACAATCAGTTCTGTCAGATTCATGTCTGCAAAGACTTTCTCCATTAGCCTCTGAAATGTTGGGGGAGCGTTCTTCAAGCCCATAGGCATTCGTTCGAACTGATACAGTCCAAATGGTGTGGTGAATGCAGAGATAAGTTTTGCTCTCTCCGTCAGCGGTACTTGGTAATAGGCCCTACTCAGGTCCATACTTGTAAAAAACTTGGCCCCGCTCATAGTCAGGAACATATCCTCTATTTTTGGGATGGCATAACTGTCCTTAATAGTGTGAGCGTTAATTTTCCGATAGTCTATACACATGCGTAATGCACCTGATTTCTTTCTCACCAGCACAATAGGACTTGCATAGGGTGAGGATGAGGGCGTGATGATTTTAGCATCCAATAGTTCTTGAATATGCTGTTTTGCTTCGGCAAAATCCTTTGGTGGGATAGGTCTGGGCCGTTCTTTTACCCACGCACCTGCTTCAAGCTCAATATCATGAGCTACTTCAGTGGTCAACCCTAAATCAAGTTCATTGTGTATGAAAACATCACTAAATTCATACAGTCTTCTAGTGAAATGGTCACGCCACTCTGGAGTTGTGTTATCCCCAAACTTGAAATTCAAGTCATTGTTTCCGCCTGCCTCTACCGAGACTGAGCGGGTTGAGTTAGAAAGGTTAGGTGTCTCCGGTACTGGCAACTGCTGTACCTCGTGAAATTCAGCCAAAAGGTTAGAGATGTTGTACATTGATTGGATCATAAAAACATCAGCTATAATATCTTTCTGCTTTAACTCCACATCATGATTTGACATGTTGCATAGTGTCACCTGTACTCCACACAGATCATCCACGCTCACCTTGGCCGCAACCACATGCAACCCTTCGGGCAATTTAACTTCCGTGGGCTCTTGGAGCAGCACACTTGCACAAGTGCGTATGGTATTAACTTGTGGCCTCCCGTTGACACATATCGTACCGAATGGTGGCACTATTACACCTTTACCGACCAGTTGAATGTGTCCTAGTTGGGCGCCAAATGTAACCCTCACTCAGTGGGGATGCTTTTACCCACTGAGGTGTTGTGGTTAAGACGGGCTGACCCTGAGATTAAGTACACACCGACGCCGACAGTTGTTGTCAAGTACTCGTTTATTTATAGCATCGAGCCATGACGGCGATGCAACACAGTACAAAACGAACTAGCCAAGATAGACCAAAAGATCCAAACAATCCAAAAGACCAAAAGATCAAAAGATCAAAAGATCAAAATAGAAACAGAAAACTGTAGCCCTAAAACAAATGTAAAATAAAAAAGTTACATTCAGGACAACACCACGTGTAAGCTACAATATACACGGGTACAATACATTATGTTTTCGGCCAGTACACAGTACTGCCAACAAGTACCAATAAGTAGTACTACAAAATAAATACTTAATTTAATACATCACCCTAACTAGTGTGCACATGCAGCACTAGCAGGAATACATAAGTAAGTATTTTAACAACATAATTTAAATATCTACACTACCTTCATTAGGTCTACATCTTGGTCCACAGACAGCAGCCTTGCGTGTGCGACACGACTAGGCACATGTCACATGACATGGAACACAGGTAATTTCGCTCACAAAAGCATAAAAAAACGTCAACAGTTCAGTTGCAGTCCCACAGGGGCCGCAACCCAATGAATAAAAACTTCATAGTACCTAGTAACCATATGTGTTACAAATTCATAAAAAAATTAATCAGGCATCCAACTAAGTCAAATTTAGTTTCAGATTGCATTGTCTTCATGTCTTGACCCACGTGCCAACTGTGAATCGTATCGGTCAAGTAGAACTGTCTGAATTTCCCTCCTTCGTTTCGATCTAGACTGACGACTGACGACAGACTGACCAGGAAGTGAGTTAAATAAAAGCTTGTAAAAAGGCTTATTGATTAAAAAGTATTTTCCCCGTTTTTTTTTCGAGAGCCTATCCCCTTAAGTTTGTGTTTTCTTTTGATTTGTTTGTGTTTGTGATTTATTTGTGTTTGCGATTTGCGTTGGTTTGTTTTCTGTTGTGTTTGTATTTGTGTTTCCGTTTGTGTTTGCGTTTTTTGTGTGTATTTGAGTTGTTTTTTCCGATTTTGTTTGAGTTTGCGTTTGTGTTGCGTCTGTGTTTTTATTTGTGTTTGTATTTGTCTTTGCGTTTGTAATTGTGCATTGCATTTGCGTTGGGTTTGTGTTTTTGCTTGCGTTTTTGTTTTTGTTTGCGTGTGTTTCCTTTGTATATGTGTTGGGGTTTTATTTTACGTTAGTACATTTTAAAAAGCTTCACCGTGGCGAAGCACGGGTATGCAGCTAGAATATATATATATATATATATATATATATATATATATATATATATATATATATATATATATATATATATATATATATATATATATATATATATATATATATATATATATATATATATATATATATATATATATATATATATATATATATATATATATCAATATATGTCTGTGTGTGTGTCTATGTGTGTGTTTGTGTGTGTGTCTGTCTTTTATGCATTACTACACCTCTCATCACATCGCCGTGAAACTTTGGGAAGTTGTTGAGAATATTCCTGGGGAGGTTTCTGCGAAAAAAAAAATTCAAATTCGCAGGGGTGGCGCCAGGCAGGGCGCGATTTGTTTTTTCTCTATTTACGGTATATAAAAATAAAAATCGATTTTGATTTGACACCGTTCATCCGATAGGCATGAAACTTTGGGGAGTTCATTATAAAACTCTAGGGAGGGGTTCTTTAAAAAATCATTTTAATTTCTCAAGGGCGGCGCTACAGAAGGATGCTTTTTTTTTCTTTATATACGGTATTTAAAAATAATAAAAGTGAATTGCGGTGACACCGTTCACACGATCGCCATCAAACTTTGGGAAGATGTTGAGAATATTCCTGGGGAGGTTTCTGCGCTAAAAACATTTTCAAATTCGTAGAAGTGGCGCCCTGGCAGGGCGCGATTTGTTTTTTCTCTATTTACGGTATATAAAAATAAAAGTCGATTGCGGTCTCACAACGTTCATCCGATAGCCATCAAACTTCAGGGACTTGATTAGAACACTCCAGGGAAGGGTTCTATAAAAAATAATTTTTCATTTCGAAAGGGCGGCGCCACGGAATGGTGGGTTTTTCTCAATATACGGTATAAAAAAAATAAAAGACGATTGCGGTTCGACGCAATTTATCCCGGTGCCATAAAACTTTAGGGAGTTGATGAATACTCCCGAGAAGGTTTCCGGGGTGGGAGGGGGGAATAGGGGTGGGTGGGTGGTGGGGGCGAAGGGTGTTAATTTTGCATGGGCAGCTTCTAGGCAGGATTCGATTTGACGCCCTGGTCTTTCCCGTGACTACGTTCGGTCTAAACAGTTTGATAGACAATGGATAGGATGGGGCGTTACAAGAGCTCACTAATTTGAATCAGGCGTGCCCTCTGGCGCCCAAGTAGGTTGCGATTAGGCTGCAAATAAAAATGTCTTTTTCGGCCACAAAGGCTCACATGGGCCGGTGAGGGCCATGTAATACGTTTTATTTTAATAATAAGAAAAATTAACCAAGGTTAGATTATTAACTGGGATGTTTCTTTTTGTCCGTAAAAAAATCCAAACAGTTTCGCCACTTTGCGAATAATGCAATTAGCATCTATTTTTAGATAATCCAGATATTGAGATCGAGCATCTAAGAATAGACCATTAGTAACGCTAACATATTACATCAGTCACATAATTTTTACGTGTTAGACAACAAATCCTTTTTATTTGTGTCACTTTAGTGAATGACGCAATCTGCATCGTTGTTAACAGGATGCTATTTGGCACGATGGCGCCTGTTAGTTTTAAGGAGACAGAGGTCGTACGCCGCGCCTATGCGGTAGTGTAATTGGGGGGGGGGGGGGCTCCTGAGAGCGCCCCTCTACGTCCCTGACACATGGGTGGTCACCGAAGTGTGTTCTACCACATTATTTCGGTAAGTGATTAATGTACACTCAAGGTTTTCATGCGGTAGTGTAGGTAAACCCATGTCCCGATATTTATGGTTAGGGTTAGGGTTAGAATAACTCGATTTTAGAAAAAAGATCGCGCGTCTAAGAACACATGATTGGTAATGCGTTGGTGAAATCCTTCTAATATATTTCGTCAAACTTTCTTCTATCCCCGCGGCAGCGCGCGGGGGACGGGTACCCTAGTATAAATAAATAAATAAATAAATAAATATATATATATATATATATATATATATATATATATATATATATATATATATATATATATATATATATATATATATATATATATATATATATATATTGTCTTGTGGTACATGACCGACATAACTATCAGAGTAATTTGAACGAACAAAATGAGATAGGTGACTTTTTTTTACATTTGAAACATTTGAAACTGAACACGAAAAAATAACAGCAGTTTAACTCTCATATCTTCCGACGGTTCTAAAACTTTTAAATAGTAATTGTTGAAAATTAAATTTTTGACGTCAATGTAGCTTTTCTAATAGACTGTTTTGTAAAATGTAATAGAAACTGAATATTATGTTTAAGAAAACGGAATAAAACAAAACTGTTTTTGAGGGGTGATGTATATCGAATAGGGATGTCATTTTAGTAGTCTAGGTCTGGATTTTGTGTGGGACATTTCACGATAGGGACAGGGGAGGTAATAATCGTCAAAAAAGTGTGACGTCGTAAAGAGATGACAATATCAGAGTATTGTGTTGATAATGTAACGGTGTATGTACCAAATCAGATGCCTCCAGATTGCCTATAACAAACGTGTGTAACCTCTGACCAATGAATCCTTATCTTGGCATTAGACAAGTACTTCAACACTTAGTAAGGGAGTTAATCAGACAGACAGCGAAGATGAAACTGATGCTTGTTTTAGTTGGTATTTGCACAATACTTGCCCTTGGTAAGTCGATGTTATATAGTACTTGCATTTGGTAAGTCGATGTTCTATAGTACTTGTGCTGGGTAAGTCGATGTTCTATTTTACTTGCTCTTGGTAAGTAGATATTCTAAAGTACTTGCACTTGGTAAGTCGATGTTCTATATTATTTGTACTAGGTAAATCAATGTTCTATATTGCTTGAATTTGGTAAGTTGATGTTCTATATTATTTGTACTCGGTAAGTCAATGTTTTACATTACTATATTACTTACACAATACTTTCTTTATTCATACCATACGTGCACTAGTCAAGACAATGTTTTAAAGTTCTTGCATTAGATTGTTCGAATTGCTCTGTTATCCTACAGTTCTTTCAATGTTCTTCCTTTACTGTTCTTTCACTGTTCTAGTACTGTTATTGCATGCCGTCAACGTCAGATCTGACACCTTTACATACCTGCTTTTAGCATAAGTATGAGATAATCGTTCTATGACCCATATTACCGTAACTCAAAAAATCCCGTTGAAATATCCCAGGTGATATTGTCTTTCTAATAAAATCTAGTTTTACTTAGGGGTCTTTTATTTATGACGTCCACACAAAAGGGGAGGGGGGGGGGGTCAGAAACATCGACTTTTGTGTAAAAACTTTTGAAAGAACGTCAAACCTCAGCATACCACGAATTTCAAAACTTATTATAAAAAGTAAAACATTTTTTTTTTCTAAAATATTTACTGAGCGCGGTCAGTTGAGAGGTCTATATTAACTTTTCTTTTTTTTCTTTTAAATTAACTACGTGAAGCAACGGCTTAAATTTGGTTTCTAACGGAATGTGACGTCATTTATGGACGAACAAAATTGAAAATAGCACTACTTTGAAGCGGGCAAGTAAACAGAAAGCAGACTGGTGAGGGGAGGCGGGGGGGGGGGGGGGGGTGAGAAGAGGGGGTCTGAAAAAATGTTGCGGACTTCATAAATGGCCTAAATGTAAATACGTTTACCTTAAAGTGGGAATCGTTGATATGAATAATTTTACTCTACGGATTAGGGTTGGCCAATAAGGTTAATCGTGGAAGCAAACAATGTTTAGGGTTATGTTTTAGGTCAAATTATCATTGCCTATTCAAACATGCAGGTACGGCTAAGCCTATTTTTGCTCTCTCTCTCTCTCTACCACCAGGGCATGCATGGTCTGTCTTCTCCCATAACCCAATCCCCAGCCAAGAACCATGTAGCCAGCCGCTGACCGTGTGTGATGTTGACCCCTGCATCGGACGTACCTGCAGATATCTATCAGCCGTCTGCGTGCCCGACTATTGTGGTGGATGCAACTACAAGTTCTATACGAATGGTCTTCTAATAAATGACAACACATGTAATACAATCCTTGTTGGCTAATAACGTAATCTTGCCTCAGTTCATTAAACAAACATGTGCTGATTTCATGTGATTGTTTTCTTTTGTGAGAAATGTTAGCCTATGTAGGTCTACAACAGTTATATTAATTACTGTACATATATATATTATATATATATATATATATATATATATATATATATATATATATATATATATATATATATATATATATATATCGTTCGAAAATTTCAGAAGATGAAAAAATCATGCTTCAGTTACAAAATAATTTACTATTTTTTATTAGTTTTGATTGAATGCATGGTAATTTATTTAACACAAGCCAGATGGTGTCGTCCATAATAGATGACAATTTCTGAGAATGTAGTTTCGGACTATTGTAAGTATGTAAGACGATGGAGAGGGGCATCGGAGTCAAGTGGGATAACCTTTTAAAAAGTGTAACTCCGTGTATGGGTGACCCCTTAAGTCTTCATGTGACAACAGGTAAAATAATTTTATTAATAAAAAAAAATGAAGACATCGAATGACGTCAATTGTAGACTGACTAGTATCAGTTAAGTGGAAGCTCCACGAAGGGTAATCCCACCATCCACGGCAATGCATTGCCCGGTAATGAAGCTCGCCGATTGGCTGGCTAAAAATACAATGACGCTGGCCTGTTCCTCTGGCGTGCTCTCCCTTTGATGAAGCGGGTGCAGGCTGGCGTAGTTCGTCATAAAACTGGCAGTCCCCGCGGGGTCAGAGGTGTAGGTCCTGTAGATTCTAGAGGTGGTCAGCGTCGGGTTGATTGAGTTGACACGTATGCCTGTTTGGTCAAAATAAAATTTAAAAAACGTCACTATAATTTTAAATAGAGTTGTGTGTGTTTTGTATGAGAAGCAACCCAGTAGTGTCCCTTTTCTTTAAATATATAAGAAGGGTTTCATCCATGCGTTACCAATCCTATATTCTTAGACGCGTGACCTTGTTTTCTAAAAGTGAGTTATTTAAATGTAAACAACACCCGCGCTTGGATCATAAATATCGGGACACGGGTTTACCGACACTACCGCATGAAAACATTGAGTGTACATTAATTACTCACCGAAATAATGAGGTAGAACACTACGGTGACCGCCCATGTGTCAGGGAGGTAGGGAGCCCCCCCCCCCCCCCCCCCCCCAACGATTAAACGGCCCCTGGCTCCTTAACACTAACAGGCGCCATCGTGCTCATAGGATAACCCAGATTGACAAATATCATCCTGTTAACAATGATGCATATTGCATCATTCGCTAAAGTGACAAAGGATTTTTTCTTCAACACGTACACAAATTATTTGACGTGTTTCAAACATCAGTGTGACTGATGCAATATGTTAGCCTTACTTATCGTCTATTATTAGTTGCTCTACCTCAATTTCTGATTAGATTGTCTAAAAATAGATGTTAATCGCATCATTCGCAAAGTGACGAAACTGTTTGGATTTTTTTTTTACGGACAAAAAGAAACATCCCAGTTAATAATCTTACCTTGGTTAATTTTTCTGATTATTAAAAGAATACGTATTACCTGGTCCTCAGCGGCCCATGTGAGCCTTTGGGGGCCGAAACAGAACTTTTTATATGCAGCCTAATCGCATACTACCAGGGCGCTGGCGGACACGCATGATTCACTTTAGTAAGCGTTTGTAACGCCTCATCCTATCCATTGTCTATCACACTGTTTAGACAGAGCGTAGTCACCACAGCGCTCAGAGGGTAAAGACCTGGGCGCCAAATCGCATCCTGCCAGTGGGCCACCCATGCAAAATTAAATCCCCCCTCCCACCACCACCACCACAGGATACCTACTCAACTCTACTTCACCTGCCCAGTGTCCCGCCAAGTCTCAGACAACATGTTTTTATCGTTTAAAAGACTATTCCGGCCGAGCATTTCCCTGGCCACACTATCCCTTCATATGCTGAGGACAAAGAAACAGGTGAACTCTACTTCACCTGTATCCCGCCAAGTTCCCATTGGCAACTTTATCATTCACATCTTTAAAAAATTGTTTTTTTTTAACATTGACATGATTTGTTTAGAACCCGTGCCAACCACATGGAAGCCTATTAAAATAACAACTGAGCTATTTAGACTCGTGACGTCATCGAAGTTTTTTATGTGCTATATTTTAATAGTTTAAAAAGTCTGCTTACGAAACTTGATTTACGCGAATAGGCCCTAAATCTAATATCTTTTATCTTAAATTAGCCAATTCCATAGCTAAACAAAGATTTATATAAAGTAATGAAGGTCTGAAATAGTTTAGTATAGAAACTCATTATTATCTAAATCTAGATAGAATTATCTAGATTCTACGACTGGTTTGGTTAAGTCGAGTTAAGTTAGAGTCTAGAATTAAGAACCTAGATAGATAAATCACTTGTATTCTTGAATTAGATGATCCGTGAAGCTAAAAAGCAAAGATTTATATCAAATATTTAAGGACTAAGATAGTTTAATAAAGAAACTCAATATCTTATTCTGATTTTAAAATGGATTTTAATTTTAAGTAATTAATTATTTTTTTTACCTAGATTCTAGTTCTATAAATAACTTTTTTCGACAGCTGATCTTTAGATCTAGAGAAATGTATTGTATACTTAAATGAAAAGGACTGTTGAAAATTGATATAAGTGTTGGAACGTAATAAAAATAGCAAACGGACATATCGCTAAAGCTATAGCCGACAAGAAATTAGCTATATAATGTATTGCATTATACTTCTGAATAGAGGCAACAAAATCTTCGACGGAAGCCGCCATAGTTGTTGTAAAAAGTAAATAAATCATGTGACGTCACTATTCGCTATAAGTAAAGTCATTGTTCTGAACTTTTATAATTAATGTGGTTAATCTATCAATGAATAAATCAATAAATTAATTAACGTCTTTAAATAAATTTGTGATTAACAGTCTGTCTAAAAACAAAAATTGTTCTCTACCTAACTACTATTTTACAGCTCTATACATAGTGCAGATTCTCTCCTGTAACCAAACGGACAAACAAACAAAAAAATATTCATACATGTAAAAAAAACTTGAGTTTTAGTAGTATATATACATATATATATATATATATATATATATATATATATATATATATATATATATATATATATATATATATATATATATATATATATATATATATGTATATATATATGTTTACCTTTAGGTGCCAGTCCCAAAGCTAACGTTCTTGTCATATAATCCAACGCCGCCTTAGACATGCCATAAATAATTTCGTCCGGAAACGGCACGAGGGCACCTATGGACGAGACGTTGACGATACAGCCTTTGGTTTTCTCCAGGTGTGGGATCGACTCCTGGATTAAAAAGAAAATGGATTTGACGTTGACGTCCATCGTTTTGTCGTAAGCCGCCTCCGTGGGGTTGGTTAGTCCCCCCTCCTCCAGGATGATGCCGGCGTTAGGTACCAGGATGTCCAGTTGGCCGAACGTGTCGAGGGTTCTCTGAATGATGGCCTGTCTGACCAGGGGGTCACTGACATCGCCCTGCACCGTGAGGTAACTGAGAGAAGGGAAATAAGAATTGTAACGATTGTAGTGTCAGCTTAGTGGTAAAGAGGACAGTTAAATCAACGGCTTAAAAGCGGATTAGCTCTGTAGCAGTAGAAATATAGTAAATAGTTACTATCGTCTTCAAGGTTACATAGAATTCAATTTAAAAGTTGTCATAAGTATAGGTAAACGAATCATACTGTTTTTTCTCTCTTAATTTTGGTATGGCCCCACTGACCCCATTTGTATGGTCCTTCTGGCAGCATTTGTATAGCCATACTGACAATGCGTACAGCCATACTGACTATTTGGACAGCCAAACTGACAATTTGTACAGCCATACTGACACCATTTGTACAGCCATACTAACAATGTGTACAGCCATACTAACAATGTGTACAGCCATACTAACAATGTGTACAGCCATACTAACAATGTGTACAGCCATACTGACAATTCGTTCAGCCATACTAAAACCATTTGGGCTGATACCATGTAAGAAGTAAATAACCACCTTAACGACGTTTACACTCACCGGTCCGCGTGACCCCCTCCAGCCTCAACACATTTCTCGAGGGCAGCCTGGAGCCGCCCCTGGTCCCGACCACTGAGGGTCACCCTCGCGTTTCTCTTGGCGAACATGAGGGCAGCGACCTCCCCAATGCCTGAACTGGCACCGGTGATGACCACAACTTTGTCGGTGAAGTCTGAATCCATTTCTGTGTGACACGAGAAGGCCTGGTATGTTTGTATTTTGTGGGGAGAAAAATGACTAATCTAATTAAACAGTCGAACGAGCAATACAGTGTACAGCTTATTATAGAGGTTTATCGTCGTTCTAGATAACATTTTAAAGAAAAACAGCTATTGTTTCAGAAAGGAAGAAACTGAGGCCTATCTATCAGATGGAGCAGTTAGTTCACTTTTTATCGGCCTTTACTTAGGGACTGAGCTCATTGCCTTCATGAGCTGCATCTATGGTCAGCTCAATGCCCAGCCGTTTATGCCCTCCTAAGCTGGGTCTCTAATCGGCCCAATGTCCAGCCGCTTATGCCCACCTACTAAACAGGCTGTACTGTAAGTCTTACGATTACAATCCCATAGTATGACCTTCCTCTAAGCAATCACACGCTCGTATAAACGACCTTTAAGTTACAGACGAAAATAGCATACAGAAGGGTTTGGGGGCAGGGGGTGGGGGGCAGAATTTGATGGGGGCCTCGTACCTTGAGGTCAGTTGGGTTTTTTAAAAATATTCCAACCTACACCCACTAAGTTGTACATAACAGTACTAAAACAACACATGCATACATTGAATAAAATCTTGATACCATAAACGCACTCACCTTGTGTTTGGTGTAACTAGATCGAGTGGGCCGTGTCCTACTGGCCGAGCACACAGCAACCTAAACAACACGTTCTGCCGGGCTTGTTGGCGCTGTGCTACACACCAAGGCCAATATTTCGCCAGCTCGATATTGCTATTTTAAGCAGACAGTGGCCGCACGCACTGACAACACTTTGGTGTTATCTAGGCCTAGGGCCTATAATTTATGATAAATTTACAACCCTTATACACAACGATACGGCGGCTAAAAAAAAATCAGCACAGTGCAGCAAAACGTAGCCTCTCGTGGTTATTTACCTCTGTGTACTGAAAGGGGAATTCCCGGAAATACTTGACACAGCTGTGTTGAGTGACTCACGCTGAGTAAACTTTTTTTTCCAGATTGGATTACACGATAACTCAGCTTTTATTATTGCTTAGCCTGTTAAAATTCAAATGTAAAATTGTCTGTATTTGGGGCGTGGGGTGGGGGCAACAGAGGGGAAGGGGAGGGTTATAATGCTCTGTTAAGTGATGTTAAAAACAGCAGTCGAAAATTATTTGTTCTTATCACCACAACGGTACAAAATACATGTTGTTATTCCGTTGTTTTTTTAACTGCACTGAAAATAAATTTAATCACATATCTCGAATATAAATATTCACATTAAAGTCGTAGCACATAATATTCGATTCAGTTATTTATTAACCAAACTTATTTTATCTAAAAAGCTAATGCATCTATTATAACTTACACATATTTTACGTAGATTTAAAATTTTTAAAAATATTGTTTTATGGTCTCTGCATTTGCAAATCTTTATATTCACATTCTTAAAATACAAAATTTCTAAAAGCATAAAATTAAAGTTTTGATTATATTTTAAAACGTTTTTATTAAAACGTTTTTCTTAACTCAGCTTCGCGTTTGTTTGTTTGTTTGGTTGTTTGGATGTTTGTTGTTAAAATTGACATCGAAAATTAGCCCACTTCTGATTGCTCTAGAGACCTGAAATTTGGCATGCATGCTACTTTCGCCTAACAATTTCAGATGCAATCATAAAAACTAGCAATTAGTGACCGTAATTAGCTTAATTTAATTACGCCCCAAGGACCATAAAATTGAGGACATGATTTCTAAAGATACCGACAAGACTCGAGGCCTATTGACACAGTTACTTCGGCCCCAATCGATGTGAGCGCGCTGGCCGTGATCGTATAGTGGTTAGTACTTCGCGTTGTGGCCGCGACAACCCAGGTTCGAATCCTGGTCGCTCAAGATTTTTAGTCCGTGTATTTATAAACACTTTTTTAAAAACCACGTTTTTCATGTGTAGCAACGGACTAAAAAGGAGAAAATAAAATACTTAAAAAAAACTTTTTAAAAAACCACGTTTTTTATGTGTAGCAACGGACTAAAAAGGAGAACGGACACGGTAACACATTGTTAACGGTGACACGGTTGGTACGCTGGGCATGCTAAAATACACATAAACACGTTTTTCCTTAACTCAGCTTCGCGTTTATTTGTTTGTTTATGGGAGATTTGATCACGTGATTCGTGAGTAGATCTCCACGCCAGCAACGTAAATTACACCCTTTCTCTGTTTAAAGCGTATCGGTCGCTCAAGATTTTTTTAGTCCGTGTATTTAAAAACACTTAGTCAAGTCATACTTAATCAAGTGATTAGATAAAGTAGAAAATAAACTATATAAAAAACTTTTTAAAAACCACGTTTTTCATGTGTAGCAACGGACTAAAAAGGAGAAAATAAAATACTTAAAAAAAACTTTTTAAAAAACCACGTTTTTCTTGTGGACTAAAAAGTAGAAAATAACTATTTACATACATTTGATGACAAAAAACGTGGGTCGGGCAGATGGGTCGGGAAATTTGATGGTGAACGTACCCACGTTTTTTGTCATCAAATGTATGTAAATAGTTATTTTCTACTTTTTAGTCCACAAGAAAAACGTGGTTTTTTAAAAAGTTTTTTTTAAGTATTTTATTTTAAGCTTCATTCATCGGAGAAATCAAAAAAGGCAAAACCAGCTTTGCTATTATATGAGACAACAAAATTTGGATACCATGGCAACGCTGGTTTCATTTAACATAGTCTGTATTGTCCTCAAGGCTCTAATCTTTTTAATTACAAATGCAAATCAATCAGGTGACAAACTCTGGTACATTTGTTTTTTAAATAACCCAACCCTCCCCACGTAGCATCATTAGCAGATATTGAAACAGAAACCACACAGAGAGAATAGAGCAATGGAACATGTGAGGAAAATATGCTAAGCATAAATTTAAGTAAAACAAAAAAGGAAATCCGCCGCGTATTCACATACAACATGCAATTGTCTTCTTGTTGCTGGAAAACAATACGGCCCGTGGACGGGGAACAAAAGACTCAGAGGGGGTGCGATAATGCTCTGTCAATAGCCCCCGGTGTGGGGACAGCCGCCTTTTATTCCCCGTGGGGTCCATCTCCCTTCCAGAAACACGATCAGCCAGCACATGGCGATAAAGTCTGGACACGCATGCGCAAACACCACGGTTTAAAAAAAAAATGATTTCATAAAGTGTTTTAATTGCATTGCTCATTGGTAGATCGCCGGCTGCCGGAGAGACAATCCTCCTCACCGCACGGTCTTTGTGTACCCCCTCCCCCACCCTCCACTCCCCACACACACACACCCCTATGTCGATATATGGATCCGCCAAATATTTCAATCCCAATACTTGCCCGGTAATTTCTACTCAAATCTGAGAACCGCTACACCACAATTTGATTCTGTTAATTTTTCCCCGTCCGTCACACCCCTCCCAGCGTCCATGTTTAATTCATGAACTCAATCGAATGTTTACCCTCTGCTGGTCCATTGTTCACGGGGTTTTTATTCCCCCGCCCAGGGAGGCAACGATTCCATTGACGGCTCTCTAGTCGGCCAATAGAAGGCTTCAATGTATCTTTCCATACGCGATTCTTACAAATAATACTTGTTAGCTAATTGGCGGTTGGTTATTAAGTAGCTGAGAAAACAAATATACATTAATACAATACAATAGGAAGGGATAGACTTTGTTGTTAAATTTAACAGCTTTTAGCTTTAATATTTACTTTATTTACGTTTGTATTGCTGGTCTTTTATAACCTTTATCTTAGATTTATCTGTTTGGTATCAGTCTGTCTGTCAATCTGTCTCTCCGTCCATCCGTCTTTCTATTGTGGCTATTACTCTAAACATCCCAGACAAATGCATGTTCGATAACAATGAAGGAATATATAATATTTAATCGAATTTGATATCAAATTACTTATTAAAATTTAAGGATGGCAAAACCAATTTTTTTAATAACTAGGAATTAAATCTGTAATTAAAAATTAACTTAAGGTTACAGTATTCACTAACAATAGAGTTTATAACTATGTAGTAGCAAGCACTAGACCAGTTAGTTATGTTAGTTTGGTGAGCTAATGTTTAGTAGAAAATAATAATCATTAAAAAAGTTTTAATGATCCCACTTTTTCTGATTGAACTAAAAAGTAGAAAATAAATGCTATACATCATAATAATGCAAGCGATCACTCCACTATAAGCGATGAAAAACGTGGGGCGCCGTGATTTTCTTACAGTTTCTAATACTGTTGACTCTCTACAAGCTCCCTAATAAAAGTCAATAGTATTATCTAATCAATAGTAATATAACTTTTACTTCGGCGCCCCACGTTTTTCATTAGATTAAAAATAATCAATCAGGTACTTTTTTTTTAAAATTTAAACATCAAATTACTGCTTATGTTTATAATCACTACATTTTAGATCATGAAAAGTAAAAATTTAAATTTTGTTTAAAAGAAATTATCTTTCTTTTAAAATAAAAATAAAATAAACTTTTTCTTCTTATTTAATTAATTTTAAAGTATTAACTTAAAAGTGTTTTTATCTTGTAAACACAAATGTAGATTGTTTACTAGAGATTTTTTTCTCTACATAAAAGCAACATTCGTTGTTCAAATTAAGAAGTTTCTTTTTTTTTCCTTGTGTTTTTTTTCTACTGTATTTTTAACACGAGGGTTTGTTTCGCTACAATTTAGGCCGAAAGTTAATCTTTTAAATTTTTTATTGTGATCTAAACTAAACACCTCAAAACCCTGGATCTGTAGCCTCAACCCCATATCGCTTAAGATCAGCGTCAATCTCTCAGCGATCAAAGAAAAAAGTAAAAAATACAAAGGTAATTTTTTCTTCTGTAAAGGTAATTTGATGTCCCGCGTTCATTAGAGGCGTCATTAAGTAATTAATATACAGACACAGAATCCCAGGTATTATAGGGGGGGGGAGGTATACGGAGGTCTAACAAGTTGTAATTTTAGAACAAAAGAAAATGTTTCCATTTTTTTTTTCTTATCCTGTTCATCCACGCGTGACTAATGACGGCAGTGGCTGTGATTGGTGGGGTATAGTGAACTGTTTGATCTCAGTTTTTATGGGGGGGGGGGGGATCAATTACGGTGTGGTGGAAAAGGGGGGGGGGGGCTATTGATGAATCTTCCGATTGACTGTGAATAAAGGGAGGTAACAGACCTGTCGCTAGGTGGAGCTGCGCGTTTGTCACCCAGACTGTGTGTATGTGTGTGTATATGTGTGCGTGTGTGTGTAACAGAGACGTAGGATATTGTTACAGAATTGATGGCTGGACGCGACGCACAGGTTGAGAAACCTGGATAATGTTTTTTTTTTTGTTCCATTTGTTGTGATCGCCCCTTTGATTTTCAAGGCCAATAATTTCGAAAATACGATGCCGATGGGAGTTACGGGGCTTTGTCTTCGGTATCTGTTCTATGGGGAGGCCTTGTCATGCGCAGTGATCACAAAAATATTTTCTAACCTATAACATGGGGGGGGGGGTTATGTTTTTTTTAAAATAATAATATAATGAGCAATGCTTGAATGAGTAATAGCTGGATCAATTACTAAACAATAGGAAACTGATTTATAATTTACACGGGTACACAACAGGGGGAAATATGGAACTAGTTTTCCCTTGTCTGCTGATTGTGTTAATGAAGTATTGGAACACAACAGGCAGAGGCGTATCTAGGGGGTGTCTTGAAAGGGGGTGGGGCTTAAGCAGTTATTCCATTAACTTTGTGGTTTTTGGTTGAAACCCGAGCCTGTGTCATAACTTTCAGGACATAAAAAACAGTCCCTTTGTACCATAATTTTTTAGAACATTGCAGCAGTCCCTCTTGTACCATAATGTTCTCAACTTTCATTACATAACAACGATCCTATT